ATTCAACACTTACCCTTGTGGTCTCCAAACCACTTCTTAACTGCATCAAAAGGCAGATACTGACACAACACTTAAAACAAGGGTTAATGCCAACTCAACACTGAGTCACAGCAGAAAAGAAGAGTGATCACTTTGGTGAATTTTTATCAGTGTATAAAAGACACGGATGTTCACAAAAACAACTTATAAAGACCTAGTATGACAGTTAGAAAAGATAGAAGAGATCAAATCTCCCCGGCAACGGCGCCAAAATTTGTTAGCCACTTGTCAGGTGACAACAAATTAACCTATTCCCCAATTACTACACACTTATAAAAATGGTAGCAAAGTGGTAAGTAGGGTCATTCTTCCACAGGGAGATTTGTCTTCTATTATTTCTTCTCTTGATTTATTGCTTAGTTTCCACAACACACACACATGCAAGGGGGGGGGGGTTGTTCATAAGATGCTAATGCTACGTAATGAAAACAGATTTTAACAGAAACAATGAGAACAGATCAAAGAAGGAGAGAGAAGATCAGGTAAAGATTTGTGGTTATCAAGTGGAGTGAACAAGCTTGTCTGGTGGAATTAGGAACAGTTGCTCAGATCAAAGTAAAAAAATCAGATTCTCAGTTAAACAAGTTGTTGAACAAAAGTGAGATTTAGCTCTCTCAGCAAGAAGCTAAATCTCACCCTCAAAAATCAGTCCTTAAGAGAGATGAGCACTGCCTAAGGACCTGTACCTACGTTAATAACCTCAGGATGAGCCTGATGCAAATTAACATAAGCATGAATTCAATTATAAAAAAACCTTTTGAACATACAATATACTTGGACAGCCAAATACACTATATGGCAGTTGTTGGACCCCAAATAAGAATTTCAGACTGAATAATTGAGGCATGAGACCTACAATCAACAGTTTTGAGAAGCTGAGCACAAAACAGGATTAAACAACCTTCAACAATTGTCTAAACCTCAAATCAAAGCAATGATCACAAATGCTGAGACTAATCCTAAATTTCCACCAGACAAGAGAGGGATTACTCTCGGGACATGATCGTGATAATCAATTCACAATTTAAACACATGATCACAGGAAAATATTGTCCAAATAAGAGATTAGGACTCGGATTTGAATAGCACGAAATCACACGTTCAATTATGAATCAACAATTCAAACAATCCTCAAACATCAAGACTGTATCTCGAATTTGGAAACAAAAACAACGAAGTACCTCTGGACAGCGTTCGAGGATCAAATCCTGCGAACGTGATGACTCCTCTGTTCGGCTACAGTGCCTGATCAGGAGAAGCGCTTGGTGATTGTGCGACGGTTGATGATGATCGCGAGGTCTAACTCGCCGGATTATGCCTGGTCGCCGGAATTTTTTTCTCCCGGTGAACCTTCGATCTCACCTTCTCTCTCCCTCGTTCCTTTCTCCTCTCACGCGTAACTCCCCTCTCTCACCAACGCCCTAAGTCTTATACTAACTAATGGGCCGGGTTGGTTATTTTCACTTCGGGTCGTCTAGCCCGATTCTAACATTTAACCCAAAGGACCTAAAATAACACAAGAATAGCACTCTAACCTCTAGGATGGTCAACGTTCTTTCTTGATCTTAAATTAAACCAAATTCTCACTAATGGTGACCCAAAGATTAGTAAATGTAAGGGAATTTAAAGACTATAAAAGAGCCTAACGAACCCAATATGAATAATTTCCCTTTAGTGCATAGATTTTTTTTGGGCCACTCACAGTTACGTTTTTCAAACCAAACGAAACTGATTTTTAAATTTGAACAGTTTCAACAGTTTGGTAATTGGTAAAAGATTCTTTCATTTTTTCAGAATTCAACTTCTTGGAAGTTGAAACTCCTTTACTCTCACCATTCCAACTACCCACTTAATGGAACCCATGAACCTCCCCTATCTCTACCTCCTCTCCTATTTAAACCAAGACATCCCAATCCATTCCTATCACAAACAACTCTTTCAATATGAAAAGTCTTCAAACACACTGTCTGAGAAAAACACCAAGAAAAATATCCTCAATGGAGAAATTTTTCTTTCTCACCCTCATAGACGGCAATGGAGAAAGCCTTATGAGAAGAAAAGACATTCAAGGTCTATGGTGCAAATCTCGGCAGTAGAGAAGGGATATGGTGCAAATCTCGTATTTTTCAGGATTACACCATACACCTTCTCTGGAACAACACTCTCTCTATTTTTTTTCTCTTCAAATTTTACTTTTTAAAATTTTTCTACTTTCATCTCTTTCCCTTCCCTCTCTTTCTTTTTCTGGATTTTCTTTTATTTATGCAGTCTCTGCACCCTAATTTTTGTGCAGACTCTGCTCCCTTTTCTCAAACAATTTTTCAAAATTTACTTTTGAAAAATTTATTTTAAACTCTTTTTCAAAATATTTTTCCTTTAAATTTTTTTTTTGTTTTTTCCTTCATCTTTAAAAACCCTTACTTTATCTTCTTCGCAATCAATTCTCTTTTCCAAAACCTTTTTCTTGTCTTTTTATCTTTTTCGTTTTCCTCCACTGCCGCCTCCTTTCCCTCCACTTTCTTTCGTTTTTTTGTTCTTGTTTTTGCCTTTTGGAGAGATATGTTGCTTCCAAGATCTTGAATATCCACTTTGGATATTAAAGATCTATCAAACGCAACGCCATCCGCACTGATAAGCAAGATCTGCTAGAAGTGAAAGCGGTAAATGGCGGAAAATATCACAAAATCTCAAGACAAGACTTGGTTTAGGAATTATTGTAATTTGAATTGTATTTGTTTAAGAGTTTTTGTTAACAAGCTGTATATTATGAGAAACTAAAAGAAAGTTATAAAATTAGTTCTCAGTACAGCGACCGGAACTCTTAAACACTTGTTTGTCATCATCAAAAAGGGGGAAATTAGTGGGAAAAATATTATAGATTTTGATGATGATGATGTATTTAGATTGTAATAGGGACTTTAGGCCTCCCCCAATATTCAATGTAATTTTTCTTTTTTAGAAATATTGTTAAAACCGAGTTCTTGAGATTTTCATTAAAGTTGTGATATTTCTTTAAGTGGTTTGATACTTGAAGACTTAATCAAATTCTGTGATATGGAAATTGGATATCTTGATCGGAAATGTCAGAGACAAGTAAGGATTTCTCAAAGCAGATGAAAATCCTCCAATCCGGAAGACTACATGATAACCGGATGTCTCGCTACAACCCGCTGAAGGCTAAGTCATCCAAGTCGGAAGACTAGCACGGATCTCTTTCTCACCCGGAAGACTGAGAATGACTCTTCCGGATTTGTCAGCCAAGAACCGGATGCCTCAAGAAAGACCAGAACTCTCAAAAGCGGACAAGTGAGAAAAGACTTAGAAAATTGTCTAAGTCTTGAATGAAGAAATTCTACCCGTTGGTAAGGAAAAATCTATCTCTTGATTTTCAACGGCTAGATTGAAGATAACTATGCTGATTCAAGAACAAATGACTTGAAGACAAAGTCTGGACCTCTTAAATTAAAGAGCCTGTCCAGAATTCCTAAACAAGCACTAGAAGACAAACAGAGTAAAGTGCTACAGTCCAGAATTCTTGAACAACAGCTAGAAGACGGATTCTGTGGAAAAAGGAATCCCTCCTCAAACAATTGGGTATGTCCAAACACCCATTCCAACGAAGAATCTTCAAATCACAATCTTCATTCAAAATTGAAGCCAGCAAATGCAACGGATAGTCTATTTTGATTCAACGAATAGATTATCCAATCCAGCTATAAATAGCACCCTTGAAAGACTGGAGAAAATACAAGACACGAATATACAACCCATGAGATAGAAAACCACAACGAAGCAATCTCTAACAACAAAGCTATCTCATTCACAGTTAGCCCAAAAAGCTTGATAAAGAGAGATTTCTAAACTCCTTATCTAGAAGCAAACTTCTCCTCCTTCCAAAAAGCTATAGTGTAAACACTTGAAGGTTTCTTTGCCTCAAGTACCACACCACGTTGAAGGATACAACTTTTGATCAAACTTATTGATTTAAAGGGGGTAGATCAACTTTCTTACAAGTTGATCTTGCAAGTCCTGTTGTTCGGATCTTGCAGTTGTTGAAGAAGCGTGACCTTCGAAGGAACAACAAAGCCTGCATGAGTGCAGTAGCAACATTGGCCTTGCGAAGATATACCGTGCAGAAATTCACACAAGTGTAATTGTTGGTTCATTATTCAACAACCAACTACATAGTGGATTTTGAGGACGTAGAAGGATTACCCCACCTTCGAACCTCGTTAAAGTTTGCGTGTCTCTCTCTTTTATCTTTACTCTTACTTGCAATTATATTAACTATGAAAACTAACCCATCCATATTGATTACTGCTCATACTACCCACCAAATTCCGCACACAATCTAAAGTTCACAAGAACTCTAGATTAACACTCATTTTCACGTTTTCAAAAGAAACGAAAAATTTTTAAATTTGTAACAAAGTCTATTCACCCCCCCTCTAGACTTTGTATATCACCACTTTGGGACCACCAATGTATATTAAAAATCATGATATGGCACATTATATCATATGATCAATTTGATGAATCATGATGATAAATATTTAATGACAATTACATGATGGCACATTTAATCAATTTGCTTGTGAGGATGATTACATGATACTTATGTAATCAATATACTTGTTCTTGATGATGATTACATGACACCTATATAATCGATGTACTTGATGATGATAACATGATGCGTAATTGATGTCACACATAGTCATGATGATTTTACTTGATGATGACTTCATGCTGTATGATTCTAAGTCGCAAGGACGAGCCTTGAGCTATGAGATTCGCCCATTTGGTACGACGAACTCACGCAGAAATAGGGGTGGTACTCGAAAACCTAAGTACCATGTACGTACACTAAGCCCGGTCGGTGATGTCGGACTGCTAAGTCCCGCACAATCACAGCTATAAGAGACGCACTAGGCCTGATCTCTTACGCATGCATATGATATGATATGTTACAATATGTGTGATGATATGAGTCATATGATATGAACAATTTGTAAACATTATGAATGGATAAATATACTTTATTTTATTTGGGTGAAATCTGATAAAAATATCATTTAATTAAGCTACGGGGCTCGGAACGGTCGACCGTTTGACGCGACGGTCGACCTTGATCTTCATCTCGTCGGGCTGGCGGAACACCGTGACGGTCGACCGCGGTTGACCAGCAGTCAACCGTTGTTGACTGGCTGCGGATGGCGGACTTCGACTGGATGGGCGGCGGTCGACCGTCAGCCACCGGCGGTCGACCGTTTGGCTGACAGTCGTGGTCCGTTTTGAAGTTTAATATGACGGTCGACCGTTTGCGTCGACCGTTTGGGTCTGCGAATCTATCTCTTGATATTCTGAGTGTCCAAAATACTTCTTTAAGTCTTTTAAACACCTTTGATTAATATACACATATTGTTGGGTTGATTTCAAAAGTTTATATAAACTTATAATAACTTTATGGATTTGGTTTGTTTTGGTCTTAACACAAAGATGATTTAAATATGTATCACATATTTATTTTGGGATGATTCAACATATGGATTAACATATATGTTCATGTACGTATGTGATGAATGATTCGACAAGTCTAACGCAAAGGTACAGACGTGGAAATCATTGGCCGAAACCTTACGGATGAGCGGGAGTGGAAACAACAACGAAATTCACTAACTTTGTCATTCCCGTCACAGTTGGACAGCCTGCGGTATTTTGAGCATATCTCCATCGTTTCTCCACGAAATCGCAAACCGTTTGATTCTGTGGATTCCTAAGATGTAAGGCTATAACTTTCGTATAGAAAGTATTTTGAGATAATGAATTTAAAATAGCGTAAATTGGACCTGAAGTTAGGAGAAAGTTGCTGTCCAGAATTTTGAATACTCCGGCTCCGGTGAACAACGGTTCCGACGATTAACCCATTAACTTCAATATTCCAACACCGAACCTTCTCTACGATACCTTCCGGATGTTCCTAATAATTGTTAGAGAGTTTATGGTAAGTATTTGGAATGAAACAACATGAATATGGTGAGGAAACATAGCCAATCCCGAGGAGCTCGCCACCACTGGCGCAGTTCTGGTATTTTGGCCAGATCTCCTTCGTTACTAAACGAAATCGTGAGCCGTTTGTTGGGTTAGATTCGTATCGTCCGGAGCTACAACTTTGGTTCAGAAAGTATTTCGAGATAATGAATAGAAAATTTCAGTTTTTACCATGAAGTTGCTGCTGCGTTTTGAACTCAAGATTTTGGATACTTGGATGGTTTCTTGCTTGCTTCTCCTTCTTCCTTAGTATATATTCATGGAGCATTGGTGTTTTCTTTTTCTTCTTTGGGCTGCCGACAGAGAGAGAGAAAGTGGAGAGGGAGGAATGGATGAATGATGGTGGATGATGTTGAAGATTATGATGATGATGGTATTGAGTGGTGGAGTATTATATTGGAAATCCATTAGTGGAATATTGTGGTGGCTAAAGATTGGAATGGAGGAGCTACGGATTTGGGGAGGGATTTGGGATATTAGTTTTGGACTTTTGTCCAAACTGAGCAATTTACCTCAATCGGTACGTGCTTTTTCGCCCAAACTGCTCTGAATTAAAAACAGATTGTATTTTTGGAATGAGACTGTCAAAACTATTGGTCAAAAATAGTTTTTCTTGATGTCTGTCTCAGTCATTAAAAATAGTTTTTCTTGATGTCTGTCTCAGTCATAAAACTATCGGTACGTGCTTTTTCGCCCAAACTATTGATGTAATCGAAATATTTTTCTGAGAATTTTTATTTTTCTCAGTGTTGATGTCTGTCTCAGTCATAAATTAATTTAATAATATGAATTAGATAAAAATACATGAATTAAATCCCAATGATAATTATGGTGTTATCAAGTGTCAAAGATTAAGATTTCTAATCTTATGAAATCTCTTTTAAATTGAGTTTATTTTATGGGTCAAAGTTACAAATTTTAATATTTAAAATCGTCATAGCTGGAAATCTATAAATCAGATTGGTTCATAAAATGTACCGTTGGATTCGTCTCATCGAGACATATCCATAAAAATAAGTTTTTAACAAAAAGTCATTATTTTGAAAATCTATTTATTTTTGGTCAAACGTATAAATATTCTTTATTGGTCAAAATGATAACAAAATCACTTTTGTTTTATAATAAATTTTAGGCCATATTTTGTGGCGTTACATTTCTTCCCCCCTTAAAGAAATTTCGTCCCCAAAATTTCCTTAGGTGAAATCGTTTAAAATGATGATGTACAAAATAATGAATATCCATTCTTTTTGTAAAACACAAATTTTGAAAAGTTGTTTGCTCTTTGTTTTGTTGAGTGTGATACTTATGACATGTTATCTTTAGAGAAGATATACGCAGATGATAGATGTAACGTGTTTGGATTTCTTTTATGAAGACTTGCGTCCAATATACTCTTAAACTTGCTCTTGTTGTGTTGTAGGAGTATAGGTTGCGTTTCTTGAATGTGAGGTAATTTACAAAATTTTCTTTTTGAATTTCTTCTAGAATCATTCTCAGACGACTTTGTCTAGAATGTTAGTTTCACAAATTACGCTTCGTTGTATACAAGCTGGAACGAATTGTTTTTAGGTTTGACGTTTTTTTTACATAACGGTATTTTGGGGAATGACTATTACAATAGTCATCATTCTAAGTTTCTTAGATGAATACGTAATTATAGTTTCAGAACTTGAACTCTCATTAGCGATTCTTAATAGAGTTGTTTTGACTAACGTAATGTCAATAAGCTGATTAAAACTTGTTTGTAATAGTTAACACATATACCACACTTATATATAGCAATAATATTTTTTTATCACATTGTAATGATTGGATGACATTTTGATAGCACTTGCTATTTGTCACTATTTGTTTTATCAAGATGATATGTAGTCATTGATGATTCCAGAACTACCTTGGAATTTCAGACTTTCTCAATAATTATGATAGAGCTTCATGCTCGAAAATTATAATATTAGTGTATTCGTTATATCACTAATATTCATAACACAATAGTTAAATTACTTATTATCAAAAACATGACAAGTTATACACATAGTCATATTCTAATATGATTGGGATTCTACAGACACAGGCGTGATTTTTTTTAAAGATCGGTATCATAAAACATCTTTTTGGTTTGATGGAGAATCATGAGTTAAAACAAGTTCTCAATGTGCCGTATAACCCGGAATTACACGAATTAAGGTGAAACGAGGGTTAAATAAAAATTTAGCTTGACATTTGAAAATGACAATTACTTGTAAATATTAAATTTACAGACTCTGGATCGTGACCCATTTAAAAATATTTTCAGAGTAATGCGGAAGTACAATAATAATCAAATCATGACACATTTTAAAATCTGATGATCAAACATTTGCCTGCCATCCTTGAATCACCT